AAAAAAAAAAAAAAAAAAAACAAAAACAAAAAAGGGCTGATTTGACTGTTAAATTCCTAATCACATCCACCCCTCCCCAGGAAAGTAAAAATGTCTTTCTCTTTGCTTTTTTCCTAGAAAGTTCTACTCAGTGAATCCTTTGAGGGGAAAGCAGAAGTTAGAATTGGCAGCAGAACTGAAGATCCAGGTCACTTCTATTTCTTGTTTTTAAGCAAAACCAACTCAAATCCAAATTCCTAATATCAAGATGCAACCTTATCATAAAACATTTACTACCTCAAAAATATGTAGTTCCAATAGTGATGGTGTCAGAAATAAAAGAAAGAATAAGAATAATAAACATTTGTCCAAAAAAAATAAGAAAAATGAACAGACTATATAACAAATTTAAAACACATTTTCTTTTATTAGTAAGTAAATTCATAAAGCATTTTGTAGCTTGAATCATTCTCACATAAACTCACCATCCTTTCTCATCTCCGGTAATAACCCTGAAGCATGTCTCTCGACAATCTTCAGGTATCCATCAACCTCGTGATCGGAAACATTAAACAAGACAATCGAGCCATATTGAAAAACTACCATGTAACAGCAGTCACTGCCACTTAAGTTGGCACCTAATGCCTGAAAGCATAACACATTATTATATTAGGAAAAAATACAACAACACTAACAAGTAATATTGGAATTTATTATATGCTTATTTAGCAAGGAAAAACAAAATCAAGACCACCTCAATCCAAAAACTTCCGCACTAAAAGAAAAACAGAAATCCTCAAAAACAAACCTGCACAGGAGCAAGCTTGGGGAAAAAAAGTATAACATGGAAAAGGAAAGGAAAATGTCAGGCAAAAAAACTTTCAGCCCAATGCCTTTAAACAGAACCAACATCAATCAATCAACCACACCTTGATTGCAAACTGGCTGGGGTGGTTATGTAGATCTACTATATCCATTCTATTGTAATAAGATCTATTTCATCGCAATACTAACAAATTAGTCTCTTAATGCAAATCAGGAGTTCTCTAAAACTACTAAAATCCATCATTCACTTCCTACATTGACATGCAACTCTTTCAACCAGATTGACAAAAACTCCTAGATATAACAAAAATTTCCAATGAGGCAGATGTGGTCAATGAAAGTGAACTCATGTTCACAGGGGTTCACTACGTGGAATTGTAGATGGTCTAGTTTCTACCTGTTGCAAACAGACAGAAAAGGTCTATTGTCTGCAGATATCAGGAAAAATTCCTATTTCTGATAAAATTAGATCATGAATCTGGAAAGGTAATTGACGAACGATCAGCCAGAACCTAACAACAGCCAGAAATTAGATCATGAATCTGGCTAGATTGCAAGAAGGCAAATAACAAATGATCTCAACTACAAACCGAAGAAGAACATTCACATCATGCGTACAATGGCAAGTAAAGCCATAGTTTGCACCGAGGCAGTTAGACATATAAGTGCTCTCTGTAAATATGCAATCTTCAACATTCAATACTTCAAGAACATATCACCAGTCCATGCCTCTTTTGGGGGAGCATAAATTTTAAGCTGAGAACATTGAAGATGCTCCAATCACTATTGTCAAGTAGATAAAGAGGACATCATGCCCCAGTTAAAATAGCAAACCAGTCTAGCACAAGAAGAACAGAGAAGGGTAATTTATATATTTCATCTTGCTGACGCTTTATCATTTTGAGTGCTTATCATGCTGTAACAGTCCATACATGTTATGGTCCATAAAAATCTATAGCTTCATGCATTACAAAATCACAATTCAAGTGCCTACAACTTTAAAGATAAAAAGTGAAAGAATGCCACAATCTATCAGCAACTTTGTAGGCAATTGCAGCAAACACCTCTGTACTGGTTTTACCCTCTTCTTTTTTTTGTAAAAAATAAAATACTAATGATCTTTGGTTAAAAGAAATTGAAAAGTGTTTATTGTTTCCAAATTTTCAGGAAGAAAATTTCAACCATATTTGAAAAACCCCACTTTATCCTGGAAGATACAAGAGTGTTGATGAGCCAAACTACCTCCCCATGACTCAACTTGATATTATCTTCCCCTGAGTATCACAAATTACTTCTAGATTCTCATGATACTCATCAAGATGTGGTGATTAGTAACTTTTGATATATAAATCTGCTCCAGCAAAAGAATTACGCTACAATGGCTGAGGAGAGAAGAGCGTTGAGTACATTAATGTAGAATGAGTAGGACCACACTGTGATAAAGATCTATTCATGGATACTCTATATCTTAGTTGGAGATAATTTAGTGTCATGGAAAAGGAAAAAACATATGTGATTGCATATTATAGTGCAGTGCAGACGCAGAAAATCGAACTATAATGGTGGAAAATGTATAAAGAGCAAGCAACTACTCAACGAAAATTTGGATAAGTAAGATATTACTTGAGGTTGAGTGTAATATTTATTAAGCACTTCATATTGTATCAAATACAATGCTTTATAAGAGAATCAAACACATAGTAGACTGTGACTTTGCAAGGGAAAAGATATCTTAGGAGACATAGTTTAGAAGTTTTATTCACCAACTTGAAGAGGAGTGACAGGTAGAGGGTGCAAACAAATTGGACTTAGATAGAAAAATGAGTAGACACATCTTGAATCAAGAAATGCAAATATAAACACCAAAGAGTGTAAATATAAAAAGTAACAAAACATACTCTCAACCTTCTCTTCCGTTACTCATCTAACAGATTATATTTCCATAAAATCAACCAAACAAGGTCCAAAACACCAAAGTAACCCTCACAATCATGTGTATCCAAACTATTCTTAGTATCCCCATATCTTAAAACAAAATTATTCAAATTCAAAGACAGAAGATACACAAAAGACACACTCACACTGGCAGCCTTCTTAGTATCCCCAAATCTTAAAACAACATAATTCGTCATTCGAGACGAAGGTGGAATAAAATTCTGCTTGTTCTGTTCCACTAAGCTCCTCAAATCCACACTGCAAAAACTTCCAATCAATACTTCCCTATTCTGAACAAAAAACGAAATGAAAGAAACAGATATAAAAAAAAAAAAAAAACAAACCTAGTAGAGAAAAAGAATGCCCTAACAGGAATATACGGCTTAACAGCTGTAGCACTAGCATCATCATCATGATCATCCTCTTCCCTCTCCAAACACAATTCCTCAGCTTCGGCGATCTCCGAGCACGAAAGGGCGTCGTTCCAATCCACCGTGTGCGCTGAAGACGATATTGAAGAGAGACATTTAGCCACAGCGAAACTAGGCTTCTTACTAGAGGAAATCAAGCCGTGGTTCAAAGAATGCGATTGTCTTCGGAGAATGAGGGAGAAAGTTAGGGTAATTGGGCGATGAGAAATTTGTAGGTTTCGGGAGAGAGTGTGGAGAAGAGAAGGGTTTGTTGTGGAGTGAGTGAAGAGAGTTCGAAAAGCTTTGTTGAGAGAAGGAATGGAGGAAGAAATAGCAGTAACAGACTTCATAGGAGCAGCGTGGAGAAGAAAGAGAAGCAAAGCAGTGGTTTATGGGTCTCCACTCTCCACACTGTCCTTGAGGTTTTTCAGCCGCATTTTCTAAATGAATGGGCAGGTTGGGTGTTATAATAGTTTCTTCTTCTTCTTTTTTCCAATTGTTTTCCCACAAATGGCTTTTTCTTCAAGTTAAGCTGTCTACTTTCCTTTTTAGACTTACGGTGTGTTCGGTAAGAAGGAAAAGAAAATATTTTCCAATTTTTTTATGTTTAATTGATTTAAATGTTTTGAAAAATATTTTTCAAATCATTTCATTTTCTTCAAATCTAAGGAAAATTACTTTTCTTCAAAAATTAAGAAAAATATTTTTTAAAATTCTTCTTTTTTTTAAAAAAAAAAGGCCCATTTGCCAGATTTTATTATATTGGAAAGGGATCACAAAGAAACAAATCTTGCCCAAGTCCTCAAAAAAAAATTAAAAGAGTAAAAAAGACAACAATTAAAGTTGTTTCTGGAAATGTTGTCGGCTTAAACTGTAGATTTAGGAAAGTCAAAACTCTTTCATTTTCAACTCTCAATCATTGATGTTCTCTTTGGATGAAATTCGTCGGAGCTCAAGCTCTGCGATATATCTGATGTGGTTCTCTCGTTGGACCGCATACCTCCGTCAGTGATATTGTGAGCAATAGTCTTCCTCTTCCTCCTCCTCTTCCCCTTTCCTCTTCCAGGTAATCTTCTAAATTCTTCCTTCATTCTTAAGTAATTTTGTCGCACATGAGTCTCAAAGTTGTTATGTTGTACTCTATGTGTGCTAGAGCTGTTTTCTCCTTTACTTCGTCCCACTTGGAGTCCTTGTAGATTTATTAGATTTGCGAAAAAATGATTGAGCTGTTGTGATTGATGCGATTGAATCCCATAATATGTTGTGATTTTAGCCTTACACTTGATATGAATTAGCATATAAGGCCTGTGAGTTTCGTATTCAAAATCTATCAAGTAATGTATATTGTCGTTCCTTCGCCCCTCTCACAATCATGCTTAAATTCACAATTCCTAATTCTGATTGTGGGTACTTGTTGCTTATCTAAATTTTAAAAAAAATTCTTGCTTGCCCGAATAGATTAGCAAAGGAATTAAATTCAGACCTTCCTGGTGTGTCTAGTGCATAATTAGCTATACAATCTGCTAGATTATTTCCTTCTCTGTAAACATGTTGTATTTGAACTTTGCAATGTTGTGATGGGTACTATGTATCTTCAACTGTGATTGATATATTCCAAGGTGCTTTCCATACTTTATAAGAACTTTTATTAACACTAGAGAGTCAATTTCCAAGCAAATAGGTGTTATACCCACAGTGAGCCAATGTTTCCTTAATAGCTATAGCTTTAGCCTCAATATTTGTTCCCTCGTGTATCTCCTCTCCTTGAGCATAAATTAGATCCCCATCTCGATTTCTTAAACAAAAACCATAGGAGCACCTTCCAAGATTTCCTCGAGATGCTCCATTTGTATTGCACTTCATCATCGTTCCATTAGGTGGCTTCCACTTGACTGGAATGTAATAGATAGGAGGTCTATAGTCTTCCAAGAATTCCACTATTTTACCCCCATCCAGTTGGAAGATTTTGCAAGTTGGGATAAGTAATTCTCCCTAGTTTCCAGATATCAACATTCACTTTGTAGACCAAACTATTGTAAGAGCATTATCGACCATGTTTCAGGATATTTCTTCTTTTACACAAATTTCATATGATAATGGATGGTACAACTCTCATAATTGGTTTCAACTTTGTGCTGCAGCTTGTTGTCCATCATTTAGAGATGACTTGTGAGAGTTGCATGCCTCATCCCACTTGAATTCCTGCAAAATTAGCAAACTGTCTCCACAGCATTGCAGCTGTGAAGGATGCTAGAAAAAGATGAGACATTGTCTCTGATTTAGATTGTGCACACGAGCACCTTGAAGCCATATTGATACATATATGCTTCAAAACATCATCCACGGCACCCTGAACTTCCAAGCTCGCCATAAAAGTCGTACCAAAAATTAGAGTCTCCTCTCTTAATTTGTCATCCTATTTGATATTTAATGAGTTCTCTCACCTTGATTAATTTCTTCCGTACTAGTGACCCCCCTCCCCCTACTTTGGGCAATCACAGGGTGTAACCTTTTACAATATTTATTTATCATGAAATCTCCCCAGGGTAAGAGTCTACTTCTTATATTCCACCACAATTTACAAAACAAGGCATTAGAAACATCAAAGATAGATCTAAAACCTATTCCTCCTTCTTCTTTGGGTAAGCATGGATTGTCCCAATTCACCCAATGTCTACTCTTCTTCTCTGTATTGTTATTTCAGAAGAACTTAGAAAACATGCTATGTATCTTCTTAATAACACTAATAAGAGGACAAATAGCCGACAACAAATGTATAGGAATACTTTGAAGGACATGATTAACAAGCACACCTTCATAAGATAGGATTTTCCCTTGACATCCTTGGATCCTATTTCCTATCTTTTTTTTTTATCAAAGAATCATAATGGGAGGTTTTTGTCATGACCTAGGAGTACCCCCTAGATGTGATACGGCGTACAAGACTCCGAAAAGTCTCATACAAACCTCTTAGCATATCATAACATAAGATAATAGGAAAAATGGTGCGGAATTTAAAATTTTTATCCATACAATCGAAGTCTTTTATAAAAGCAAGCGGAAGTCTAACTTGTCTCAATTAGCCATCTAATACAATCTTTGAATCAAAAATATAAAGTCACAGCCTTTTCAACATAATCGGAACATAAAATGACTAGAAATAAACAACTAATGACTCATATGTCCTCAAATCTTGAGGACTCACCACAAGCTAAGAGAATAGTCGATATAAGCTTGAACCAATAGAAGATCACCTTAAGAACCGGAATCTACACTTTGTGAAAAATGTAGAAAATATGGGTTAGTACAAAAATACACTAAGTATGATAGCCATGCATAAAATCCTTGAAAACATGCTAAAAAGGACATTTTAGTTGAAAAGCATGCATTTACCAAGTTTGAGAATCATCATACACTTTAGTATAAAAGCATAAGTCACAAACATATTCAACATATAGATCATCATAGCATAATAGAACCATCTCATAAGTAACCCTAAGTTATACTTGTGCAATGCATAGATAAAAATCACGTAATTCCATCTATACTAAGTACCACTTTTAGGCCACCATAATCATACTTACCATTCTTTGATGTCATCCTTAGTTCATACTCATAGACAAGGAAAACCTTCATATTTACTAAATCATATCAAGGAAAGCAACCCATAGCAACAATCCACATTAAGCATACTTCATTACACATAGCCTTCATATCAACATACTTAGTATCATCATCATAAGCATATTTCACAAGTCATTATAACATAAGAGGAACACGCCATAACTACTCTCAAAGCCTACTTGTGCAATGCATGGATGAAGTACATACCCCCACCCACACTTTATAGAGCTTCTTGAGTAACCATAGTTCATAACTCATATTCTTGTTCATAGTGAGAATAAGCCTTAACCGACATAGACCATGTAAGCTTAACATGAAATCCAGTGTCATGCCCCACACCGAAAAGAGTTGGTCTACTTGCCTAAGGTAGAACCGATAATATTTTAGCTTAGGTGTATCCACTAGCTAATATCCTATGTGGGCACATAGTTATGGGATAAGGAGATTGTTATTAGAAACCCGGCCATACATAGGGAGAGCTTCCACCCCACAATATCCACTCGGTGCTAAGCATTAAATTCCCAAGAAATAGTTAATTCTCTATTAACATCATTACTCATGAAATAGATGTCATTGGCCTACCGGTTCAAAGTACATCATTAGAATAGCTCATTGAATCCTTTTGAAAAGGGTACTATTGGTCTATCGGTTCAAGGTTCATCATTATAATAATTCATTGACTCATCATGAAAGGAGTATCATTGGTCTACCGATTCAAGACAAAGCCTTAGAATACTTCATTAGTTATTCATGAAAAAGGTACCATTGGTCTACCGATTCAAGGTATATACATCAAGGTAACTTTTAATTACACATGAAAAGGATGCCATTAGCCTACCGATTCAAGGTACATCAATCAAGATAGCTCTTTAATTTTACATGAAAGGGATGCCCTTAGCCTACCAATTCATTTAGGTGAGGAAAGCCTTTCACAACACCACAATTACATCATAGTCATAATCACTTATTCTCAAGTATTCATAAAGCATGTACCTAAACATCATGATCATACAAAATTCTCATAATTTTCCCTTTAAGGATCATGGATCACAATTCACCAACACATCTAGAATTACTACATTAGACATGGATTATGACATGATTCAAGTAATCAATTCATAACATTCATAAAACTATAGCATTCTACTTGCATCACTCAATACCTACACTTTAAGATCCAATTTGAGAAATTAGTGTAATTCATAGATTCTTGAGGAATTCATCATAAAAACAGTAGTAAATCATCAATTTGATCATAACATAGAGCAATTAAACCAATAGAATCATTTTTGAAGTGAATCCATGACTTGGAGTAACCCTGGCTTTTGGGGGAAGTTACAAGTTTTGAAATTGAGTTTGGAGGGACTCCATGAATGAAAACTATCCATAGATCAAAGACTATCATACCTTATTGAAGATTTACCACGAATTTGAGGAGAAAAGCTTGATTCTTCAACCCTAGCTTCACCTTTCTTCTTTGTCACGCCTCGAGGCTACCCCCTAGGATCACGAGTGAACCCAAGCTAACCCTGCTGGCATATCATAAACATACTAAAGTAAACTGAATCAATAAACAATGTGTGGAAGATAAATCATAGAAAAATCTAAAATGATGGGGATACCCATTTACTAAATCTGAATATAAGAAACTGAGAGTTTTAGTACAAATGAAAAGTCAAACTCTAACACTAAAGCTAAAACTAACTGTGTCTGAAATAAAGGCTCTACTGACTAGAAATGTCACGCCTCGAGCTACCCCCGAGACGCGGACACGGGACCTAGGACCACAAGTGATCCCAAGCTAACCCTGCTGGCATGATCATGAGCATACTAAAGATAATAATAACTGATGCGGAAGCTAAATCATAAAGTAAGTC